CACACATGTACTAATAAAAAATTGTTTTAAATCAAGTAATTTGCCTGAATCAAAATGGACCACTTCTCATTTGCAGTTACTAAAAGTATCTGCAACTTGTCTTAATTTAAAGAACTTTTTCATATAGTGTATTCAGAGAGATGAGAGATCTTTGAAGTGTTTATTCTTAAAAAGTTATTTTAAAGGTAAAATTTTAATCACTTTAAGCACGAAAATATAGTCATACTGCAGAATGACAGTGGTCAACAATGGGTCAAACATGATAATCACATTAAGCTTATAATGCAGCTGGAAATCTACTGCTTAGCATTTTTACTGTATCTTTTCTATATTTAGATATGCAGATACAGAAGATTCACAAGATTCACAAGTAATGGGATCAGTAACTTGGCACTGAGTTCCAGTAATGTGACGCACAAGGGTGTGGCCCAGAAGGACGCCATGCCATAAAGCCTAGGTGTCGTTTACAGTATCTAGGTTTGTGTAAGTGTATTCTACGATGCTCCCACAATGACAAAATTGCTTAATGGACTTACTAGAACATGTGCACATTCAGCAACACATGACTGTAAGTTTACCAGTGGAACTGTATAGTACATAAAAGAACTGGTAAGTATCTTTCAGGAAGAAACTCGCCTAGAAGTTATAGATAGTATTAATTTTTTAATTTGGAAATGACCCGTTCATGCATACAGCTTTAATTGTCTCACCTTATTCATCTTCCTGGCACAACATAAGATACTAATGAATAATCACTGTTAAAACTTTTAAGTTAAAGGAGAAAATAAAAAGCAAACAGACCCTAAAAAACAAAATCTTTTTAAAAGATTAAGAATGTTAGTTCAGTAAAAGTCAGAGAGAAAAACAGGACATCCGAGGGATAGTCTGCTTAAAATACAGCTTATAGCACAAAATGTCTTCTCTATATTACCTATAAAAAATAAAGTAAATTTTAGACCATTATATTTTGGTGTGTCAGGGTATGCTTATTGGCTATTTGCATATTATCTTTGGTGAGGTTTAGGCCATTTTAACTTAGGTTACTGATTTCCTTTTACCCATTTTAACTTAGGTTACTGATTTCCTTATTTTCTAAGTTTTAAAAGTTCTTTATATATCTTAGATAACAATCCTTTATCAGATATGTCCACCCCCATTGGTAGCTGGGATTGAACCCACAGGCCTATGCATACTAGCTAAGCTGTCTACCACTGAGTTACAACCGCAGTCCTCCTTTTTTTCTTTTTTTCTAAATTTTGAGATAGGGTCTTACTAAATTGTCAGGCTGGCCTTAAACTTGCAATCCTCTTGCTCCTGTCTCTTGAGTAGCTGGGATTATAGGTATGTGCCAACATGCCTGGTTTCAAAAGTTTTTAATTTTAATGAAGCCCAACTTATCAATTTTCTCTTTTATTGATCATGCCTTCAGTGTTATAAGTAAAAAGTTATCACCACACCCAAGGTTCCCAAGATTTTCTTCTATATTACCTTCTACAAGTTTTATAATTTTGCATTTCATACTTAGATAAATAAATGGTCTCATCTGAGTTAACACTGAGGTAAGGGGTCTGTGTCTATATTCATTTTTCTTTCTGCATGTAGATGTCCAGTTGTTCTAGCACCATTTATTGAAAAGACTCTTCTAATGAACTGCCTTTGCTCCTTTATCCAAGACCAGCTGACCACAACTGTGTGCATCTATTTCTGGGTTCTCTGTTTTGTTCCTTTGACCTACTTATTCTTTTGCCAACACCAAACTACTGCTTTACAGTAACTTTACAGCAAGTCCTGAAGTTGGGTCGTGTCAGCCCTCTTGCTTAGTTCTTGTCTTTTAATATTAACTGAACTACTCTGTCTTTTGCCTTTCTATATAAACTTTAGAAACAGCTTTTCAATATCCATAAAGGCTGATAATTTAGACTGGGGTTGACTTGAATCTAGAGAGGAAAGTGATTGACTTGTACATTATCCTCAGATCCTGCAACCTTGCTAAAAACATGTATTAGTTCCAGGAATAGGATAATTCTTTCAGATTTTTATTATCTGCCTTTTTAAACTTTGTTATGCTGATTAAAAAGAGTAAATTTTGAGTAAGTGGACCAGGTCTAATATTAGTTTTCTAGTGATGCCATTACAAAGTACTACAGACTAGGTGAGTGCAACAAAATAAATTTATTTTCTCACAGTTCAGAGTGGCAGCAGTCTAAGATCCAATTGTTGGCTGTGTTGACTCCTTCTGAGGGTTGTAAGTGAAAATCGATTCTGGCCTCTCACCCTGGCTGTCTTCTTCCTGTGTCACCAGTCTTCTCCTTGTATGCATCTGTGGCCTAATCGCCTCTTCTTAGAAAGACGCTGGCCATATGGAATTATAAGAGTCTACTCTAATCACCTTGTTTAATCTTTCTTAATATTATAAAATGTACTTATTAAGTAAATAAATTCTGAAAAACAAGTTATCTAAACATTTAGTGCAAACTAAGAAAACAAAATACCCACAAAGGAGATAAATGAAAGTTAAAATAGAAATTAATAAATTAACAAAACGTTACTGATCACGGAAATGACAGATAGGTTCTTTTTTGTTTTTTTCTCCAGTACTGGGAATTGAACTCACGACCTCGCGCTTGCCAGGCAGGCGCTGTGCTGCTGAGCTTAATCCCCAGCCCCAGTGATCAGGGAAATGAATACTGAGAACACAGTAAAAAAGTGGTACCTTACTGTGATTTTATTTTTATTTTTTATTTTTGTCTTTTTTTAAGACAGGGTCTTGCTATGCAGTTCAGGATAGCCTTGAGTTTACCTGGTCTTGAACTTACAATGATCCTCCTGCCTCAGCCTTCCAAGTGCTGAGATTACAGGCGTGCACCACCACACCTGGCCTTATTGTGATTTTTAATCTTTTAAATATTGTTCATGCATAAAAATTCACAAAATCTTGTGATTTTTCCTTCCATAGTCTGCTAATATAGTAAGTAACAGTGGATATTAAGGGAAGGGAACTTTAAAAATGACTTCATGTTTTACAATGGTTACCTTTTATAGCAAAATTGAGCAAGAAGTTCTCGTATACTTCTATGTCTCCTCATAGGAACAGATGTAGCAACATCTCCTTGAGTTAGAATAGGTGAATAAGCACTGATACATCATTATCACCCAAAGTCCATAGTTTATATTAGGGTTCAATCTTAATGTTGAATAGTCCATGGATTTAGATAAATATATTGTGACATACATCCACCATGACAGTATCACACAGCACTTTCACAGCCCTAAATATTACCTCACCTCAAACTCCGGTAGTCACTGGTATTTGTCTTGGTTATTTCTCTTATATCCATTCATGTGGCAAATAGAAAGTAGTTGGGCAAGATTAAATAATAATGAGGCTCTCTTCTATACTGCTACTGTGAGTATAAATTGGTCAAATCAATTTGGCGAACAGCTTAACTTTTCCTTTCATAACTGAACACATACATACCACATCACCCATCACACAATGAGTCAATGTCTAGGAATATCCCTAAGAGAAACTGTGGCCCATTAGCCCCAGAAAACATGTAAAATGACATCCATGAGAGCCTTTTCATAACAAGCACCTGGTAACAAACACCTGGAAACAAATCAGATGTTCACCAAAGGCCTCAATCATTTAACCTTAATCGCCTTTTAAATACCCCCATTCTCCTTATACAGTTACATTCTGAAGTACTGGGGGTTAGAACTTTAACACATGATTTTTTAGGGGAAGTGATTCAGCTTATAGTAGGTATGTACAGTCATTAAAAAAATAAAAATTACATTTCACAGCAATCAATTTATTCCTTAATATTAGTTCAAGCAATATTCAGAATTTATAACATCTTGGAAACATTAACATCAAGTCATGCAAGGACACAGAAAAGGAACACGGAATCAACACATTTGTCCCAAAGAATATCATATCTATAAGAAGTGAAGGAAATGTTTTCCTTCTTGCTTGTCTTATATCAAATGATATCCAAAACATAACAGTACCACAGACATTCATTGTATTATAGGTTAAATAGGAGTACTGGCTTGTCTAGAAATCCAATCATAATGCATAATATTATTTCCTTGGCAAAAGGTGCTCCAGGTACAGTAAATGGACATATGACTTGTGAGGCAGGATGCTGATACTGTATGTGAGACTATGGAGTCTGCTTGTTGGGATCCAACTGAAGGAGTGTTATAAGAAATAAAATATGGGAATCAAACTGAATTTCTCTTCTTAAGGCTATTCAGCTGAACCAGCAGGAGATCAAACAACCCTTAGGAATAGAATCATGCAGAGAACAAATACACAGCAAGAAATTACTGCTAAAAAGATGGGAAAGTGATCTCAAGAAAAGGAACTCGGGAACCCAACTTGGGTTTTATGTGCTTATGTATTTACTGGGAAAAAAAGCAGATCCACTCACAATCTGTTCATGTGAATCTCCTAGCGTGGTCTCCCAATGGGTTAACACTGCTGCACTGCTAGGGAACCAGAGCTGGAACTCTCATATAGGTGTCCTGCCACCCAAGTTACCATGAGTAAGGCTATCACTGGGACAGACGTCTACTGAGGACCACTGTACAAGGAATACCAAGCACTGTCCCTAAGTGGGAAGAAGCCAAATGGCACCAAGGAAGCCAGCAGGAGTCAGTGCAGTGATTGTGGACTGAGTGAAAATGGTAGAGGCTACTGTTCTTATTCTGGCTGAGCCAAAACCCTACCCACAATTCAGTTTCCTCGGAATACAACATGCACACAAACTCAACAACAACAAAAAACTCTGTAGTCTAGAGCATGGCTGTGAAGTGCTAATACTGGCTTTCCTCCAAAGCAAATTCTGCCCTGCTGAACACTGCTGTAAGACTTGTGCACAAGTCATTCAGCAAAGAGAAGCCCAAGACTAAGAGGAAACATTCCACTGCAAGTACACAATATGGGGAGACCCAAGGGCCTATAATTTATCCTTACCTGCAAACCACCTCACCTGTCAAACGATGAACATGCTTGTACTTCACTCTCTCAGAGGTCACTTTCTTGAGTGGTGTTTCTGTGGTCAGAGTCCCAGGTGTCCCCTTCTCTTGGCTACTAGAAACATCTGGAAAAAGTTTCTTCAGCACTTTTTCAATGAACACTATAAAGGTAACCAATTAGCAAAAGAAAAGAGAGGAATGTCTTACTATATTTATTTAAATAGCACACAGCTTTCATTTAAAACAAAACAACATCTTTACCACATGAAACCAAGCAACTGGACCCCATATTGATCACTAGGCCCCAGGGAATCCTGTAAGTTCAGGCTACCGTCCAGACAACAATCCTCAGAAGACCCCCAGGCCCTGTCCCTCAGATAACCAGCAGGTGCTCCTCTCAGAAGGCTCCACATTGGTGCCACTAACCTTCCCTAGGGCACAGCCTCAGAGGTTACCCGGGAAGAGCCAGGTCTCTGGGTGATGTGTACCGAGCTGCGCACCTGTGCTGCACTGACTGTTCTTCCCAGAGTGTCTCTTTCCTTTGAATTTCTCCTATACTGTAGCTGTGAACACTAGGGATCCAGATCCTTCTTTGCCAGTAAGTCTACATGCAGGCTACACAACCCCTAAAGCCATGACTTTCTAAGACCAGGAGGGCTCCAGTGCTGCCACCCTCTCTCCCCATCTGTATCTCCTTAAAGCTGAGCAGACTCACAAACATAATTGAGGAAAAACTCTGTACAACTCACATGGTTTTAGCACTCATGTGGAAATTCTTCATTTTACTAATTTTAGTTTATATTCTTTGGGGGATTCCTAATGAATTAGTATTTCCCTCCTGACTTCACTGTGACTTGTAAGTAGAAACATTCTCAGTTAGAACACCACACTAGAAAACATGAAGGAAAAAGCTAATAAAAAAAGCCTTTAAACCTGATTAAATTCAGGGAAAGAAGGAAGGAAGGAAGGAAAAGGCTTCAGAGTAACCAAAAGTTCTGTGGCAGAAATCAGAATGCCTAGTACAGATGCCTTAGTACTTTCAGGCAGAGAGTGGAAGATACAAAGTCAGCACAGTTGGAGATGTGCAACAATCTGCTACCTGAAATCTGAAGGGAGAAACTGAGAGCATATTATAGGAGAAATACTGGTTTCCTTGGTGCCACACAGGAGCATTCTATGTAAAAGCACAGGTCCTTCCTAATTTCATCATATTCTCAGATGATGTGCTAGAAATAACCACTTCAACATGTATTTCCTCTGTAAAGAGCACGAGATACTAGACTTCCGGGAAGATGGTGGAGTGGTGAATAGCAGAGAAACATCCTTTCCAAGATTTGGTGTCCAGAGGCTGGAATATAGCAATGTAAGGAAAAGAAGGAGGAGGGAAGTGGACAAGGATCAAGAAGGAGGGAAGTGGCAAAGATATGAAGCCAGAACTGAAGCCCATGGTGAGAGCGAAGAGAGACCTCAATACAAAAGAAGGAGGTGGCAAGTGGCACTTTCTCCCATGGGGGGTGGTGGGACTCAAACCCGCAGATGCACAGCGACCACTGGCAACCCCAGAGGCCTCCTCAGAGAGCTCCATGAGTGGAGCAGACTATGGACATGGTTGATTACTGGTGAGCCACAACTGTGGTGGCTGGTGAGTTATTCAGGTTGGATATCCTCCAGGAGAGGGCAACTGGCTGGCAGCCATCCTGGAGAGAGGCCAACTGAGCTTTAAACTCAGGCCAGCTGCAGGCTGGCTCCATCTAGCAGCTCCTCATGGCAAGGTGAGGGAGAACCGAGTTTAAATCAGCAAGAGGTCAAGGAACTGAGTTTAAACTGGCAGGACACATACACAGGGTTGCAGGCTGAACAAATTGCGTTCCAGCTTCACAGCCAATCTTCAGTGGAACTAAAGGTGCAGCTTGCTGGTGTTATCCACTACCCCACCACAAATCTATGGCTGGCTTGCTGGGATTAAGCAACATGGATCTGGAATATATCCACTCTATCTACCAGTGACAGCAGAGAGAGGCTCTGAACTGGACACATTTTTTCCTTCTTTCCTTCTTTGTATTTGTTTTTTTTTTTTTTTTCAGTTTTTTTTTTCATGTTTTGTCTTGTTTTCATATTGGTGTGAACGCTGCTTTTAGTTTTATTGTTGTTCAGTTCTGTTCTGGTTTTTATTTCTTCCTTCTCTCTTTCCCTCCCATCTTCTTCACTAGTTTCCCAAAGTTTCTGTAATCTTTCTTTGTCTTCCAGCCTTGTGTCTTATCTCCTCCTCCTCTTCTATTTTTTTTATTTTGTCCCCTAGCCCCTTTTACATTTTCTCCCCTGAGGTTAATAATCACCATGTTGAGGGCGTATTTACTGTACACAATTTTCTGGTTTTAGATTTTGTTATATAACCACAAATACAGTGCATGAGGTTAAAGGTGGCAAATTAATAGTTATCACAGCTTTTCATTTTCTAAGCTTTGTTTGATGTTACTGTTATTGCTGACTGCACTACTTTAGCCAAGGTAACATAACTGTTCTAATCAGTTATTCTTCCTGGTATGCCAAGACTGAGATTGCCTAAGGGTCATAAACAATGCTATCAGCCAGTGCTGAAGAACAAGGGCCTGGGCTAATTAGGCAGCAATTTCTCTTCCCCAAAAAACTTAAGAGGCAGGATCCTGCAACAGACTCAAAATCTAAAAGCCAGCTACACCTGGAAGACATCTCTGAGAAGTACTCACTTTCTAAGGGTTGTTAAATACTAGCAATAAAGCTACCTGCCATAAGCAGTTCATAAACATCAACCTGGGAATGAAACTTAAAAAAAGAAAATGAGAAGATGCTTAAGCAAGATGAAAACGCAGACTTCCAGCTCACCAGGGGGCAATGAGGTGGAACAATTTGAAAGCTACCCACCTGGACTTTCTGAAGTGGTAACTGTGGAAGTAACAAAGCTGATGAATAAAGCTCTAGAACAAATCAAATCAGAAATATCTCTCAGATAACTACAGAGAGTGTGACCATAATGAAAGATAAGGTTAGTGACTCTAAAGCAGAAACAGATTTAAAAAAAAAGAGGAACTTAGGAAAACAATGGAAACCATGAAAAGAAATAGAATCCATGACAGGATTCAAACAGATATTGAGGAAATTAAAAATTACTGTATATCTAGCAGAATGAGTCAACATGAGGACAGAGTATAAGAAATAGGAGACAGGATTGCAATTAATGATCATGAAATGAAAGATTTCTTAAAAATGCCAAGTGCCAGCCGGGCATGGTGGCACATGCCTGTAATCCCAGCACATGGAAGGCTGAGGCAGGAGGATCGTTGTGAGTTTGAGACTAGCCTGGGCTACAAAGTGAGCCCAAGGCCAGCCTGAACTGCATAGCAAGACCCTGTCTCAAAAAAAAAAGACAAAAAAGAAATGGCAAGTGCCCACAAAAAACCAATCCAACACCTATTAGATGATGCAAAGAAGAATAACATAAGATTGATTAGAGTCAGTGAAAAAAACAGGAGATAGCACAAACAACATAAAAAATCTGTTACAGAAGTACAGTGATCCCTCACCTATAGCAGGAGTTATGTTCCCGGGACCCCTATGATAGGTAAAAATCTGCAAAGCAGCAGTGTTATATTTATTTTATTATTTATATATATTTTAAGGCTTTATAAACCCTTCCTACACTCCTATAAACCTCTCCCACTCTTACTGACCTTTCCCACACTCTTATAAACATTTTATATGCTCTTAAACACTTTCTACACTCTTAAACTTATGTAATTTTAACAACATGTAAAATTCTATATAGGTACTCGGTGTGCAGTGGACAAGGAGAGATGCTGAATGTATGCACACAGTGAGGGGCAGCAAACAGACTGATGTTATGGTCACTGATACAATCAATGCCCAGGATACAGAACACAGTGCTGTGGTTGGTCACCTTCCATTCCATCAGCCAATAGTGTGCTGTGTACAATCTCACATTGGCAAACTTGTGCAAGTGGTAGTGGCGTACTGCACTTCCACTGTGTACAGTACTGTATTCATCCATTGATGAAATACATACTATATTTTATTTCAATTTAATATTCTTTTAACATGTTGAATTAACGTTTATATTTTTATATCGTTTTAAATTTTTTAGGCAAAAACAATTAAAATCATAAATATATTGCAAAATCCCACAATACAGCAAAAAATCCATGATACAAAATTACATATATATATATTTAAAAACCTCAATACAGTGAAGCAGCAATAAGTGAACCATGATATAGCAAGGGACTACTGTAATAGCAGAAAACTTCCCAAGCAGGAAAAAAGAATTTCATATACAGTTAAGTGAGGCATATAGAACTTCAATTAGCCATAATAAAAAAATCTACACCAAGGCATATAATAGTCAAGATTCCAGAAATTCAATAAAAGAACAAAATATTAAAAGTTGTTAGACGAAAGAAGGAAATCACCTATAAAGGAAAGCCTATCAGAATCACAGAAGACTTCTCAACACAAACTCAAGTCAAGGAGAGCTTGGAGTGAAGTACTCCATGCCCTAAAAGGAAATAACCTCCAATCCAGGTTGATGTACCCGGCAAAACTATTTTTCAAAGTTGATAGAGAAATAAGACATATTCATGACACAGAACACTTAAAAAAATTCATGTCTACCCAATCAACACTCCAAAATGTTCTGAAGGCCATTCTGGACAACTACAGGAGCACCAACCTAATGAATCCACCAGGCAAAGCAAGTAATTAAATGTGGCGGGGGGACTAACAACAGGAAAAGAACATGACAAGGATAAGCCAATACATACCAGTTTTAACCACCAATGTAAATGGCCTCAGTTCACCAATCAAAAGAAAAAGACTGGCACAATGGATCATGAAGCAAGACCCAACAATATGCTGCATACAAGAAACAAATTTAATTCAAAAAGAAATTCAGAGACTTAAAGTCAAAGGATGGAAAACAATACTCCAGGCCAGAGAACCCAGAAAAGAGCAGGGCTAGCTATTCTATTTGCAGACAAAGTGGATTTTAAGCCAAGACTGATTAAGAGAGACAAAGAAGGTCACTATATGTTTGTAAAAGGAACATTCCAAGAGGATGCAATAACAACCATAAATATATATGCACCAAATACCAGCGTACCCAACTATA